CAGAAATGACTACACAACAAGATGACATTAAAGATCCCACGTTAGCGATTAGCGACTTAGCCAACGTAGCGATTGAGCAGAGATTTCAATGCATAGAAAATGACGAACAAAGCAAAGCTGTTAAAATAATAAAGAAGTGTTTATATACAGCGTAACGTGGGACCTTTAACGGAACTACTTTCTTCAAAAAACAAAAAAACGGAAACTTCAAAATCACTCTTGGTCACTCGTGTAGTTGCGTCCGCGCAATCGCCGGGACCAACGCAGAACCTCAGCAGGAAAAAATAAAACTTATTTTTACTTAATAGAATATTTAAATAACCCAATACGCTCTCCCCCGTTTGGGACGATGCAGCCCTGAGCAGAGTCCTTCTGTGTGTGAGGTGTGAACATAGACTGTATATATTAACGGACAGAGTCACGCCTATCTCCGCCGTTCATAGGAGTTGGCCATGAAAAGTGCTTTCATGGAGCAATCCAAGATGGCCGCGAGTGGTCCCGCCCACAAGACAATTGTGAAAAAACGCATCTCCGCATGCGTCAGCCGGCGCAGCTCCATTCATTTGAACGAGAGACTTCAAAAATTCCCCGCGAGTAAACTAGAGTGGACCAAAATCCACCCCCTCAGCATTGACACACATGTGGAGCTTTGGGCCAAGAGCCAACTTTTGGTCCATCCTGTAAAGACGTTTTTGAGAGGTCTGCCAACGCTATATGTTAGCATTGGCTAATTCTTCTTCTGGGTCCACCTCCAACGGCCCGGGGTGGTATTGCAGCATGTCAGCGCACGTCATTTTGGCCACTTTTGAGCTGGGACTCACCCCCACCGGGTGTGAAAAGCAGAACACAGGTGTCATGGCAGTGGAGGGTCGGGTTAGCAAAGGTACTCTGTGGAGAATGTTCCTGCAGCATGGCATTCCACTGTAGTTACTGTTCCACATGAGGATTACTAAAGTTACCGTGTGTTTCTGGACCATAAGACGCACCTGTGTATCTTAAAAGAAAGTTTTTTTTTCCACATAAGTTGCCGTTTTTTTGCTTCCATGACTTAGCTTCCATGACTCATTCACCGTTAGCTTCCATGACTCATTCACCGTTAGCTTCCATGACTCATTCATCTGTTTTGACAATAAACTGGTGTCTTGTAGCTACTAAAATTTGATAGTTCAAAATACATATAATAGCATAATCGCTAAATAAGCCACGGGGATCAGAGATAGAAAAAAAATTGCGGCTTATAGTCAGAAAATTACGGTAATAAAGTTGCATTTAGAAGATAAGAAGGTAAGCGAACCTTCTTATCTTTTCAAAATAAATCCTGTTCTGAATATCACCGGAAAAACATTAACTCTGTCCAGGGGAGTGTAAACTTTTGACTCGACTGTACGAGGCCATGAAGGTGTTGGGTTTGAATCCACCTCCAGACAGGGCCTTTCTGTGTGGAGTTTGCATGTTCTCTGTGTGTCTACTCCGGTTTCCCCCACTACAGCTATGTACAATATGTAAGCGAGTGATCGGCGGAGACTGTGGAAATTACCGGTACTTCATTTTTTTTTTAGAGCGCTTTGTATGACTTAGATCTGAGAGAAGCGCTATATAAATAAAACGTAAATATGTAAACACGTCACTTCCGGGTCCAGACTAAAACACGAGAACAGTCTTTTGTTTATAGTCGTTGTCGTTAGCTTAGCATAGTTGGTGTTAGCCTCGCACAGTTGGTTTTAGCCTAGCATAGTTGACAACGCTGCACAGAACAGCCATTAGCTTACCTCGTCGAGTCTGTCATAAAGTCAAGAACAAGAGCCACTTTATAATGCCATGCTGTGAACATCTCCGGAGAAAGTTGTTTAACGTTAAAAGTAGTTTATTGTAAATTGACAGCCCTTTAGGCGTACATCTCATTTAAAACTACGCACACACTATAATTTCCTTTCATATATTGCTTTGTTAATAATTCAAGCCTTGCAATAATATAATATTGATATGGTAAAAATATATATATTTATATTACACTAGGGAACAATTTTCAGATATGCTTTTGTTTGGGACGATTTTAATGAATGGATCTACCACAGCTGAGCTAACTTTATCATTTTGTTTTTTTAAAGATATAGATTTATATTGGGTAATCAGTTAAAATATTGAGTAAAAGCATTATGGCAGTACGTCACAGCCCTTTTCTGAACTTTTGTCAAATTTTCTTTGTTTTTTTGCATAGACAACGCTCACGCATCCACTCAAACATCAATTAGAAATCACTATAAATGACAGAATTATTGCTGTGAAGAAATGCAGACGTTTTCATTCTCCATTACTGAACGGGAAGCCATTTTGGATCAATATTACAAGATATAGGGTCTGGTTTGCACTTGTTTAAAGGTATTTCATGGTAAAGAAATACTATAAAAATGTTAAATATGTCTCTCAGTCTCTGCATACTCAGGTGTAGTTGTTTGAAGGTGTGAGAGAAATGATTTAGACAAAAATGATTTCAGTATTTTGCATTGGCCGTGTAGAAGTGAGGTCTCTGCCAAAATCAGACCAGCTGAAAAGCATGGATCCAAAGCAGACTTGAGTCAGTAATGCTATAATATAATATATATATTATACTATAATTTATTATAATAGATCTGCTGCAGTGTGAGAAGTCAGAGAGTCAGGGCTGCACAAGCGATCAGCAACTGATCCTACTCCAAGAACCATCTTTAAACCTTTCTGACGACACAAATAAAAGTGCCTGTACCCACTTTTGCTAGCTTTTAAAATTGTTTAAACACTAATTAATTCACTTTAAACATTTAGTTGTTGGTTGACAATTTGCAGTAGTCAAACATGAGCTAGTGTTAGCTCAAGGTAGCCACAATAGCAAAGTTTACCTGAGTTAGCCACATTAGCAATAGGTAGCCACACTTGCAAGAGTTGCCCAGAGTTAGCCACATTATCAGGAGTTAGCCCGAGTTAGCCACATTAGCATGAGTCAACAATTTATAACAACAAAATCTGTATTTACCACAGATACATGGAACTAGATGGGGTACAGACTCTTATATGTTTTTCATCTCTTTGTCATATGATGCAGCCCAACCAAAAGTAATCTTTAGTCTCAGCTGTCTTTGTATATGTAAGAAAAGAGGAAAACCGTCAAAATACTCTTTAAATCAGATTCAGAATAAAAGCCATCGATGCTAAATTATGAGAGAACTGCTACAACTTGATGAAAGTTCCATGACTGTAGGTTTTCTTCAAACTGAGAAGTATTTGAAGAATCCCACTTTACAGTAAATATTAAGTCACATTAAAATGGATAAAAGTGAAAAAACTGACCTTTTGAATCACTGCAAAAAATGTGTATCTACGTGAATTAAAATATAAAAGCAATGTATTAAATTAGCTTTTTTTTTTCAAATTTGTTGTACCATTTTTTGGCTGACTTTATTACTATTTTAAATGAGTAGATAGATAATTTTTTGCAGTGGACGTTTCTAGCTTAACATACGACTGTCCCCTCGCCTGAGCCATAAATATAAGAGCAGAGAAGTGAACAAGGTGGAAAAAATCAACCAAAATAAATAGTGATCAGTTCAGCAGCGTTTCATAGTAGAGGGAGTGTCCGTTCATTCAAGTCCACCGCGTGTTAGCATTAGCATCACCTGGGCTCTGTTTCACAAGTGAGGTTCAGTACAGCCCTTCTCGAGGACTCAGCTACAGTAGAATTCAAACAGAGTAAAGTAAAGTGCGTACGACAGGTCGGACCAGACATTTCACACAAACACTCAATACAGAATTTTACAAAGGATTTTAACCATTGATTTCCCAACCAATTTTACTGTGGTAGTTTTAGCCAGTATAGAAACCCGGCCTGAAACTCCAATATATTTAGAAATTGTTATTTTTAGGGGTGAGAGTACAACAGCGATGGACAAAAGAAATTCTGACTTGGACTGACTGTTTATATTGACACTTATGAAATGTGCTGTGGTGCGCAGAAGAAAAGAGCTGCACTTACTATGTGCAACTAATCTCGCTTAAAAGGCTAAACTAGCTCCGGAGGCTGAACAAGCTTCAGGGGCTAAACTAGCTTCAGGGGCTAAACTAGCTTCAAGGGCTAAACTAGCTTCAAGGGCTAGACTAGCATCAGATGCTAAAGTAGCTTCAGATGCTAAACTTGCTTCAGGCGCTAAAGAAGCTTCAGATGCTAAACTTGCTTCAGGCGCTAAAGTAGCTTCAGCTTCACTCTCATGTTGATTGCACTAATGTAGAATGTAAAAAAAACGTATTTGCACTACAATAGTTTGTAGTTTTAATAATGTGACAACAATAATGTTGTACCAAATATTCTATACCAATACATTCTCTAAATTAAATCTTAATCTTGATATTTTCAAATTAATTAGGGAAATTGTTGTTGTGAATTTTGCGCAACAGTTCAGAATCTCCCAATAGTGCCAGGCCGTTCCAAACCTCTGCTGTAAACTTCAATGTATTGGAACCCGTTTCTTTAATTCACAGTTTAATTTAACCGGATGAAGTTTACGTTTATGTTTATGGTGGACTTCTGTCGTACGCACTCGACGCAGTGAAGGGACCAATCAGTGCTCGGCTTCAGACGAACCAGGGTCTCATCCAACTCCATGAAAAATACATCCTTCCTTGTCCTTATTTCTCTTGTTTATTGACCTTGGTGCGGAAAATGTGAGAAAAAACCTTAAACCTCAGCGTGAAACAGAAAACCTGGAGTCTGGTTCATTTCAGGGTAAATCAACTCAAACCGCAGTTGGAGTTCACTATCGTAAGGAGAACTTCCAAACCGCGCTCCGTCCGCTCCTCTTGCCCGAGCCGCAAAAAAGTGACTGTAGTGGAAAAAGTCGACCCAAAATATACAGTTGGTCAAAGGTTTCCGCAGTGTAACGCCAGGAGGAAGGGGGGAGCCTACTCATTCACAAACCCAAACTAAAAGTGATCCTCCCGCCTCTGGATGTGTCCCGCGGGTGGAGGCCCTGTCAGTTGTCTTTGGCGCCCCCTGTGGGTGAGGCTTGCCGGCTGCGTTGGTAGAGCCGGTAGCCTTTCCGACAGAGCAGAATGAACCAGTACAGCTGAGGGGCCAGGATGCAGCAGCTGCCCAGGTTGGTGGCCAGGGGCAGGTGTGCAGGGACCGTGTGGAGGGCCAGGCTGTAGTGCCGTCCGTACATCCAGTACATGAAGGGGAAGAGGGCGATGCGGCACAGGAAGAAGGTGAGCAGGACCATGCCCCCGTTGGCCTTGTGGACGCTGCCCTCCTGCAGGCCCAGCTGTGAAGGGGGAGAGAGGAGATATGTTAGTCTGTGGTATGGTTAACCTCAGTTCACAACATTTCTGTCAATTTGATGCTTTTAACAGTTTTTGCTTTTAACTTTGGACCCTTTTTGTCTAGAAAAGTGCAATAAAAAAATCCGGTTTTGGATTAGTCCTGGTTCAGGCTGGTTTTGGATTAGCCCCGTTTCAGGCTGGTTTTGGCTTAGTCCTGGTTCAGGCTGGTTTTGGCTTAGTCCTGGTTCAGCCTGTTTTGGACTGGTCCTGGTTCAGCCTGGTTTTGGACTGGTCCTGGTTCAGCCTGGTTTTGGACTGGTCCTGGTTCAGCCTGGTTTTGGACTGGTCCTGGTTCAGCCTGGTTTTGGACTGGTCCTGGTTAAGGCTGGTTTTGGATTAGTCCTGGTTCAGCCAGGATTTGGACTGGTCCTGGTTCAGGCTGGTTTTGGACTGGTCCTGGTTCAGGCTGGTTTTGGACTGGTCCTGGTTCAGGCTGGTTTTGGACAGGTCTTGGTCCAGGGCGAGTGCTGGTTACCATAGTAACACAGTTTACTGTCAGCAGTTAGCGTTTGGTCTTTAGCTTTAGTCTCCAGATTTAGCACTCAATAGAAGTAAATGTAAAAACTTTTTAAATTACTTTTATTAAATATGGTAAGAAACTAAACATTTTTAGTTCTAGTAGTTTCATAATTGTGGGAGTCCAAGTGTTACATAGAAAATGCAAGGGTAACATGTTCCAGCACCATCTAGTGGCAGAAGCTCAGAACATGACACATTGGGCCCAAACTCTCCTATTGAGGAGATAAGTATAAGAATATAATCAGTATAATTGATATATTAAGTATAAGTATCAAAAACAGATTTGAAACAAAAAAACTAAACTTATAACATACAAGAAACAAGTGTAAAAATATATATATATATATCCAAAAAAAATATCAGACAAATGACAGGTTTGTGCTTTACCCTCTGTTATAGATACAAGTGAATAATGAAAAAGTGTGTTTTTATTATTAAGGTGAACGAGTGAACATAAACATACATCTGTCAGATCACTCCTGACCCTGAGAGTCTATATCACTCCTGAGAGTCTATATCACTCCTGAGAGTCTATATCACTCCTGAGAGTCTACACTCCTGAGAGTCTAGATCACTCCTGAGAGTCTAGATCACTCCTGAGAGTCTAGATCACTCCTGAGAGTCTAGATCACTCCTGAGAGTCTAGATCACTCCTGAGAGTCTAGATCACTCCTGAGAGTCTAGATCACTCCTGAGAGTCTAGATCACTCCTGAGAGTCTAGATCACTCCTGAGAGTCTAGATCACTCCTGAGAGTCTAGATCACTCCTGAGAGTCTAGATCACTCCTGAGAGTCTAGATCACTCCTGAGATCACTCCTGAGTCTAGATCACTCCTGAGAGTCTAGATCACTCCTGACCTGAGAGTCTAGATCACTCCTGAGAGTCTAGATCACTCCTGAGAGTCTAGATCACTCCTGAGAGTCTAGATCACTCCTGAGAGTCTAGATCACTCCTGAGAGTCTAGATCACACTCCTGAGAGTCTAGATCACTCCTGAGAGTCTAGATCACTCCTGAGAGTCTAGATCACTCCTGAGAGTCTAGATCACTCCTGAGAGTCTAGATCACTCCTGAGAGTCTAGATCACTCCTGAGAGTCTAGATCACTCCTGAGAGTCTAGATCACTCCTGAGAGTCTAGATCACTCCTGAGAGTCTAGATCACTCCTGAGAGTCTAGATCACTCCTGAGAGTCTAGATCACTCCTGAGAGTCTAGATCACTCCTGAGAGTCTAGATCACTCCTGAGAGTCTATATCACTCCTGAGAGTCTATATCACTCCTGAGAGTCTAGATCACTCCTGAGAGTCTAGATCACTCCTGAGAGTCTAGATCACTCCTGAGAGTCTAGATCACTCCTGAGAGTCTAGATCACTCCTGAGAGTCTAGATCACTCCTGAGAGTCTAGATCACTCCTGAGAGTCTAGATCACTCCTGACCCTGAGAGGCTAGATCACTCCTGACCCTGAGAGTCTAGATCACTCCTGACCCTGAGAGTCTAGATCACTCCTGAGAGTCTATATCACTCCTGAGAATCTATATCACTCCTGAGAGTCTAGATCACTCCTGACCCTGAGAGTCTAGATCACTCCTGACCCTGAGAGTCTAGATCACTCCTGACCCTGAGAGTCTAGATCACTCCTGAGAGTCTAGATCACTCCTGACCCCGAGAGTCTAGATCACTCCTGACCCTGAGAGTTCAGATCACTCCTGACCCTGAGAGTCTATATCACTCCTGGGTTGTTCTATAGTTTTCAGTCTGGGTGAGAGTATTTCCTAAACTCTCCAGCAGATGGCAGCACAGACCCTTGTCTGCCCTAAGGTCCAATCAAAAGCTACACACTCAGTCCATGCTTTAGAGATGTGTAAGAAATATTAATGAAAAAACTAGTGTGTTTCAGTGTTTGGATGAAGCCAAGTAAACATTTATCTTTTCAAATGTTAAAGACGGACCCTGAAGTTGCATCAACATCATTCATTCATTCATTCATTAAATGCAGGATATATTGTGTACAATGTAGCAATAGTGGTACAGATTTTTATTTTTATTATTATTTTTTAATTAAGTATTGTAAACCAGTAAATAAATTCAGAGTTAACACTGGAAAGACCAGAGCAGTTAATATGAGGTGAATGGAATTATTAAAAAATGTTAGTAATAGTTAATAACTGATAAAACTGGCACAATATAGCTTTAAATACCGTCAAAACAGTTGGTGAAAAGGCTAATGCTAACTAATGCAAGTAAACTGTGTGTTACTATATGGTAATAGCACTCGCTTTTCAGTGGAAAACCAAACTGGACCAGGACCGAGACCAGGACTGACACCAGTACTGAGACCAGTACCAGAACCTAAAACTAATTCAAGGACCAGGACTGAGACCAGGATCAGCAGCAGTGCTTCAGCTTCCATATAATGTTGGTTTCCAAGCATGCAAATTCATTCAAATGATTGGAGCAGTCAAAATAACTGCTCCGGCAGTAAAAGGTCAATCTCCTCGCATAAAAAAAAAAAAAAAAAGACGGATATAAACTACATATATATGCTGAAAAAGTCAAAGTTATGAACAGCAAGTCCTGTACTTTTAGCCTGTTTTACTCCTGTACTTTTAGCCTGTTTTACTCCTGTACTGGGTCTGGTGCACTGTGGGGACTTTTGCACATGTATTCCAATGGGATTTTACTGCAAATGTCAAATAAACTGACCCTGAAATGGAAGAGAATATGACCAAAACAATTAAATCTGGGGCTGTAGGGGCCGTAGCTGCCCTGGCTGCCCTGACACGTAGCCTGTTTGGTCTGGTCAGCCTCAGATGTCTGGACCTGAAGCTGCTGCGCTCGGCAGGGTGCAGTGCGGTGTTTTTTTTTTGCTGAGGCGGACAGGGCCCTAGCTCTGGAGCGCAGATGTTATCAGATGCTAACGCTAACGCCTCCTGCAGACGTCCAGGAGAGAAGTGAGTGAGAGGGAAGAGTCCGGAGCTTATGTTACATATACTCACAGCATTAGCAAACATTACGACTGAACAGACTCTGACACCATCACAGAGAAGCTGCATCTGAGATTAGATTACTCACAGATGACCTCCTCTGTCCTACTGCTGCTGCTTCTACTGCTGCTGCTATGAATTTAACTGTATTTTAACTGTTCTTAAATGTACTTTTTACTTATGTAAGGTGACCGAGTGTCAAGAAAGACGCCTAAGAAATGTATTATTATTAACTTTGTAGTCAATGTGTGGTCATTCAGAAACCAGCAGGCAACAGAAGAAGAGAGTGGGAAGATACTAGACAGATTGTTTCTATCTTGTTTTGTGAAGGACTTTGAGTTGCCGTGAGTATGAACTGTGCTATACAAATAAACCTGCCTTGTCAATAGGTTGCACAAAGGAAGGGGAAGATCCTTGGTTTCAGTTTTTGTATTCATTCAAACCTTTAAAAATGATGCATATATGTCATTTTTGTAAATACATTATACATCCATGGTCAGCTCTGTGATCAGAAACGGCTGAATATGACGTCTCTGGGGGGTCTCAGACCTGGAGGAGAACTCTATACAAAGGGCCTGAAACTCTGTAGCATCAAAGCCCCGCCCATCGCAGGTCAGTAACGTCACGATTTAAAAACTCATGGTTAGGGTCAGGCTGAGATTTTGTGAACAAGCGTCCAGGACTGAGACCAGGATCAGCAGCAGGGCTTCAGCTTCCATATAATGTTGGTTTCCAAGCATGCAAATTCATTCAAATGATTGGAGCAGTCAAAATAACTGCTCCGGCAGTAAAAGGTCAATCTCCTCGCATAAAAACAAAAAAAAAGACATATAAACTACATATAAATGCTGAAAAAGTCAAAGTTATGAACAGCAAGTCCTGTACTTTTAGCCTGTTTTACTTCTGTACTTTTAGCCTGTTTTACTCCTGTACTTTTAGCCTGTTTTACTCCTGTACTTTTAGCCTGTTTTACTCCTGTACTTTTAGCCTGTTTTACTCCTGTACTTTTAGCCTGTTTTACTCCTGTACTTTTAGCCTGTTTTACTCCTGTACTTTTAGCCTGTTTTACTCCTGTACTTTTAGCCTGTTTTACTCCTGTACTTTTAGCCTGTTTTACTCCTGTACTTTTAGCCTGTTTTACTCCTGTACTTTTAGCCTGTTTTACTCCTGTACTTTTAGCCTGTTTTACTCCTGTACTTTTAGCCTGTTTTACTCCTGTACTTTTAGCCTGTTTTACTCCTGTACTTTTAGCCTGTTTTACTCCTGTACTTTTAGCCTGTTTTACTCCTGTACTGGGTCTGGTGCACTGTGGGGACTTTTGCACATGTATAACGTCAGTAACGTCAGGTTTTATAAACTCATGGTTAGGGTTAGGCTGAGATTTTGTGAACAAGCGTCCAAGACTTATCAACGGTGTGTAGATGGGTCTGCTATCTGGACACGCCTTTAGTGTGCGTCTTTTACGTCTTCACAAGGATTAGACCCTAAAGTAGAGGTCTGAGGATCAGACCCTAAACTGGAGGTCTGTGGATCAGACCCTAAACTAGAGGTCTGTGGATCAGACCCTAAACTGTTCTGCTTGTGTTCCATACACTCAGTAACATTACAACTGGACACAGAGTGGATCGAGTTTCAGAGAAAGTGTCTGAGCTTCTGTTCCACATTTCAGAGTTCATCTGAGTCCTTCTACGCTAACTTTCATTTCCATTGATCATCGATGTTGGAGGAATCCTGACCTGGACTGTCCTGAATCCAAGGCTACAGAGCCACACGTGGATCTTTTCTACTAACTAATGTTCTGTATGTCATTATTGTTAATAGTTTTACTTTGGTTTTTTCTAAATGTTTAATTTCAGCAGAGAGGAGGAGTGGGGTGCGAAGGAGCATTTGTTTTGTTTCATTTTTGTTGTTGTTTTGTTTTTGTGTGTGTTTAATTAACTTTTCTCATCTTTAATTTGCTGTAAATTGTTTTTGTGTATCTGTTTGTTTAAATGTTTGTAATTATGTTTAGGACCCCCACAAGGGTTTTTTTCTTAATAAACGTAAATTTATCAGATTATATGTATTGGATTTCTTCAGTGTGACAATGTTAATAAACAAAAAAATTAGTGCTGTCCAAAATATCGCGTTATTAACGCGTTAACGCAAATCAATATTAACGGCGTCATTTTTTTTATCGCCATTAATTTTTTTAATAATTATTTAAAAAAAAAAAAAAATTTTTTTTTTTTTTACTTTTTATTGCAGACAAACACATATACAGAAAAAAATAGACACAAAGAAAAGGACTAGTTAAGATACATTGTAGACAGAGATTACAAACAATATGTAGTTGGAGATACAGGGGGCCAAAGAAGAAACCCAGAAGGGCACATAGGAGGGGGGGGACATGAAGTGGGAGATGGGGGGGAGGGGTTAATAAAAAAGGCAATACAAGCAAACAGTATACAGTCATAGATAATACCGAAAGTAAACAGAGAAACAGCATAGAGTATTTACATGAACAAATTTACAAAAAAATTGTTTATCATCATCATAATGACACCATGATGTTTCTATACAGTCTATGGTCTATACCCACACATACACACACACACCCACACCCATAAACACACACACTCCACACACACATTGAAGGGGCTTTTTGTTACCAATTATTTATTTTGTCATCCATTTATTGATGATTTTGCATCAAATGTTAGTGTGTAATATAACACTACACATTGTTTTCAATAAAAAAGCAATTGCACACAGCACGCAAATGGGTGACTAATTTGCGATTAATCGCGAGTTAACTATGAAATTCATGCGATTAATCGCGATTAAATATTTTAATCGTTGGACAGCACTAAAAAAAATACATCCTAAGATTACCCTCGAAATTTGTTTTAGAAAGTCACACATTCATATTTTTTTGGCTCTGAGCTAAAATGGTTCCCTCTGACCTGCTGCATATCACTGATTCTCACCCATTTCTTCATACGTCAGGATGAAGAAAGGAGAGGACTGACAGAGACAGACATCACCACAGTGTTAGCCTTAATGCAGAAGAAGCAGGTTTGAAAATAAGCTAGATGGAGCCAATATCCTTATATGGGCATTTGTCTCAAAGGCGTTAGTTTCTCGCCGTAACGAGGGCAGACATATTGCTAAGATCGTCTCTTAGGCCAGCCTGAGTTTCCCTCATAAATGAAGACTGCTGATTGGTTGATCCTTATGGTGCCACACAGACAGTTACTGAGCTTTTAGTCAACAGGAGCAGAACTGGTCCATGAGCATTTCCCTGTTGGGCTGTATGGAGCTAGCATGTTAGCATTGTCCATCTCTGTATAGTCTATGGGAGAACGGCAGCATTAGCTTTGATGAGTCCGTGTTTGCGTAAATAAAAAGTGAAATGATATGTATACATCATTTTGAACTTTTTAAAATCAAAACTGATAAGTCCAGACCAGAGTCAATACTTGCAGATATTATTTAAAGAAAGGCAGTTGGGATAAGCCTCTATCAGCCTTGCATCATGCTCATTCTTCTTTACAAAACAGCTCAAGCTCAGATCAGATTATGAGAGTGTGTGAACTGAAGAGTCCAGCACCGTGTGGCCTTGGATCCTCGTTCTACAGCCTGAGTCCTGGGTCTACAGCCTCAGTCCTGGGTCTACAGCCTCAGTCCTGGGTCTACAGCCTCAGTCCTGGGTCTACAGCCTCAGTCCTGGGTCAGAGCGATAAAAGAATAAATTGGATTGAATCTATTATTTAAACAGGCTCATATACTTCCTGTAAGTGGCTTCTTTAACATCGCAGAAGAAAAAGCACTCAGGACACGCAAACATCAAACCAGATAAGACCGAGTGCTCTAGGACAAAAGCGTTTCAAAGTTTACACACCCAGGGATCACGGTTATTTTCATTTTTAATATTTTGAATGACAACAAAAACACATCTCACACACATAGTTGGTGCTTGTGTTTCCTGTCAAAAAGGCGTATTATACATATTTTTATTGATAAAGAGGTTATAAACTCCTAACAGCTCAGAGTCCATTGTGGTATCTCTGATGGTAAAGCTGCCCATTCTTCTTTACACAACAACTAACGACAAGTAATAAAGGGGTCATCATTCACAATCTGCAAAGTATGGCCAAAAAAACATCTTTGGGTTTGGAATGCACTGGAAATGTTACTCCAGTAAAGTTATCATGGTTTTACACTGATCCAGACCAGAGCAGAGACGATGGTCCCAAACCAAACAGATTCAGCAGAAACCCACTGGAGGAATGTAAGTGAGTAAGTAATATTATTTATATAGCGCCTTTCACAAACCAGAGTCAAAGCAGTTTATATTTGTGGGCATTTGTGTCAGTCCACACAAAGTTGGGAGTGAGGTCGCCAGACAGGAGGTGCATGCCAGACCTATTGTACATGTTTTTAGTGGTAGAGGAAACCGGAGCACCCGGAGAAAACCTACGCAGACACGGGGAGAACATGCAAACTCCACTCAGAAAGGCCCTGTTCCGACCTAATTAGGGGAAAGAATACTAACCACTCAGCCACCGTGCCACCTACACTTATAAAAAAATATATAAAAAAATACTAATACATAATTTAGAATTTCACTCTGAACCAGAGCAGAGAAAATGAATGAGGAAATTATCACCTGCTGCTGCTGCACTTTATTACTATTGTTGGTCACTTTTATAATGATGTATTTATGTGTTTGTTTGTTTGTTTGTGTTCCTGCTGCTGGACTTTCTCCGACAGGTTTCAGTGAAGTAAACAGTGTGGTTCGGGGATTCTAAGTTTACATTCAGGAAAACGGCTCATTCTTTTCTGATATTAAGAATGACAACAAAACCTTTTCTCACACATTGTTAGTGGTTGTGTCTAAAAGGTGTTTTCTATTTTTTCTGTCTCTGCTGCACTTTCTTACTATTGTCTGTCAGTGTTACTTTGAAAATGTAATCAGTTATAAATTACTAGTTACTTTAAGAAAAAAGTAATTGGCTACATTACTGGCCTCCTGTTGGTGCCCAGAGCTGGCTCTAGATATGGAGAGGCAGCGTTCCAGACCTAAGCACCTAGAATCTGCAACAGTCTTCCCGAAGGTGTGAGACAGCCTGCGACCCTATAGCTATATTCAAGTCAGGGCTGAAAACGGTTCTTTTCAGCCGTGGCTATTTTATTATTAATATATACATTTACATTTATTTATTTATTTTTAAATTGTCTTTTGTTTTTGTTTTTACAGTGTCACTTTACCCGTTACTCTGAAATTGGATTATTCTAAGTAATTTATCTATTTAAGGAAAGCACCACTGGGATCATCTTTCTATTTTTCGAAGGGGTCCTTTATCACAGAAGAAAATCAACAAATAAATAAGATAACTCTGATCACGTCACTGACCAACACTGGATAACACAGAATCATGTGTTTGTTTGTGTGTCTGCTGCTGAACTCCTGCAGGGATCAGTGAAGTATTTATGTAAAAACTAAAATAAACAGTTGTATTCGGGGTCTTACCTGAATGAGGATTTTGCCCAGAGACACGAAGGGTGTGCTGACCTCCGTGAGGAACAAGCAGCCGATGAAGAAGTCGCCCTGGTCCTTCCTGGAGAACTGTGGAGAGAGAACAGGAGGACCATCAAACTGCTGGACCAGTACCAAAAGTTAAAAAATACATATAACTTTATCTACAGGCTCCACTAGGCTAATGTAAGTGATGTCATTTCCTTTGACATCACAGCCAGGATGTAGCAACGCTACAAACAAACCTGGATCCGGAACTACTTACAAGCTACAGACCGATCTCGAACCTTACTAAAACCTGGAAAAGCTTATAGCTAAACAGCTTTGCTGCCACCTACAGGAAAATAACATGCTTATAGTCTTTCAATCAGGATTCAGAGCTCATCATAGCACTGAAACGGCACTAGTCAAAGTCACAAATGACTTACTACTAGCTGCTGATAATGGACAAGTGTCAGTGTTGGTCCTACTGGACCTTAGCGATACATTTGACACAATAGACCACAGAATTCTACTGCAGAGGCTAGAATGTGATATAGGTCTCAGAGGAACAGCCCTTAGTTACCAAGCTCCTCTACTGTGGAATCAGCTCCCCACGCACGTTAGGAAAGCAGACACGGTCTCTAAGTTTAAGGCCAGGCTTAAAACACTCTTCTTCAACTTAGCATTTGGCTAAGGTCTGCTGCATCTTCAACCCTACGCTCTAGGCTAGGCTAAAGCAGTCCTCTTAGTTTACTTAGACTGTCAGTCAAGCTGCATAGGGAGTCAGTTTACTGTGATATTTATGGTAACTTGAGCACCATCCTCTCCTCCTTCCTACTTTATCTGTTTAGCATTATTAGGATTTTGACTGTAGTTTGTTTATTGCTATTCACCCGTTGTCCCACTGTCTGTTTCATGGTACGATGACGGGACCTCAGAGTCTGGCCTCCTCCATCTACACCTGGTCAAGAGTGTGTCCTCTGTTGTGAGTTGCCTTAGTGACGTGTTGAGTAAAGAACATTAAAAAACTCAGTAGCCAAATGTTCAAACGTGTTGAAATTATGTTAAATTAATCCTGTTAAACATTCTGCTCCTTTGTAAACACTAAACTATAGGGATCTCCCAGTCACATGACCCATAGCCGCGTGTCAGCCATTTTGACGGAATCCTTCCACCGACTCCGCAGCAATGGAGCTAAGCTAGCTAGTTCAAAAACTCTCTGGAACTACATGAAAACTGAACAAAGAATTCTGAACATCAGCGGTGAGTGACCCATTTATATACACCGAACCTAAATCCATAATCAGTTCCTCTTCAAATGTGTCCTAAAATGTTCGTTTTCATGTTAATGGCTACTTCCGGGTTTATCACGATCGCTTTTTGTCACATTAAAACAGTATTTTCGTCATGAAAACGTTAACAAATAATTCTGAAAACCTCTGTGCATTTGTGTTAAGGATGTATATGTATACTGTATTCTCCGATTTACATTTAAAGGTGTTGATTGATTGGTATCTGGTTATTGAGCGTGGGCTAGCTTGGCTAGCTTTTCTGTACAGAGAGAAGTAACAGCTAGCTTTGAGAAGCCGTTTAATAAATTTTAATAAAATATTTGAATATATTTGAATATTTAAATTAATAAACAAACAAACTTCGAATATGATGTTTGTGCAAAAGTCAAAGCCCTAGTCGTGACTGACGCAAACTGAGCTAATAGCGTTTTGCCTGTTTATTGTTGATGCCGTTTTGCCTGTTTATTGCCGCCAACCACTTGTTTCTCCTTTTTGTTTCTTTTGGGATACAGTATAAAGGTATTCCTTTTGTCTGGTCGCATCCAACTGCACAGCATCACTCCGGCTTCGCAAAGACCTGTAGTATCACCAGCGGTTTTGCATTTTCTATTCCGTCAAGATGGCTGCTCCAAATGGCGTGGCGTCAGGCGGGACGTCCCTATACGTATGAAAGTCCAATCAAATCCATTTCTTTCTAACCTTTTCTGGTTTAGGAAATGGAACAAACTGCAGAGTGCATTATTCACCAATCAATTGTTAATGCATTGGTTTTTAATTTTTTCTGCCGTCCACAAAATCAACCGTTTATGGTCCTGTTTATTCAATCCAGTCATAAAAGGAGATGAGAGCGCATTAGGAGGCACCAAAGCATTACTTCTTTAAACCGTGAAATGTTATGTATTCATTGTTAAATATTGAGTTAATTTGGGAAAGTTTTAAAGAGCCGTCGTTTTTTAAAGTGACATCAGGAGGTTGCAGGTTCGGGAATTTAATGCCTAATACTTTTGATCAATCTTTTTAGACCTTTTCTTTCAAATATTTCAAAACCCTTCTCAAATTATATTATCTCAAAATATATTCAAATATATATATATTTTGCGCTTCTGCAACATTTAATATAAAAATAGAGTGGGAGTTCTTGTACCACAAAGTAATGCGAGAAATTTCAACTCTGTAAACTGTAGGTTAAATGAGGCACGAGAGGAGGGGGGCCAGAGGGTGGGGGGGCGAGCACAGCACAGAGGAAGGAAAGTGAAATATAAACATTATTTTGATATACAGTGCCTTGCGAAAGTATTCAGCCCCCTTGAACCTTTCAACATATCGCCACATTTCAGGCTTCAAACATAAAGCTATAACATTTAAATTTTTTGTCATGAATCAACAACAAGTGGGACACAATCGTGAAGTGGAACGAAATTTATTGGATCATTTAAACTTTTTTAACGAATAAAAAACTGAAAAGTGGGGCGTGCAATATTATTCGGCCCCTTTACTTTCAGTGCAGCAAACTCACTCCAGAAGTTCAGTGAGGATCTTTGAATGATCCAATGTTGTCCTAAATGACTGATGATGATAAATAGAATGCACCTGTGTGTAATCAAGTCTCCGTATAAATGCACCTGCTCTTTGATAGTCTCAGGGTTTTGTTTAAAGCGCAGAGAGAACCATGAAGACAAAGCAACACACCAGGCAGGTCCGAGATACTGTTGTGGAGAAAGAAGTTTAAAGCCGGATTTGGATACAAAAAGATTTCCCAAGCTTTAAACATCTCAAGGAGCACTGTGCAAGCAATTATATTGAAATGGAAGGAGTATCAGACCACTGCAAATCTACCAAGACCCGGCCGTCCCTCCAAACTTTCATCTCAAACAAGGAGAAGACTGATCAGAGATGCAGACAAGAGGCCCATGATCACTCTGGATGAACTGCAGATAACTACAGCTGAGGTGGGAAAGTCTGTCCATAGGACAACAATCAGTCGTGCACTGCACAAATCTATGGCGTCAAAATAGGGTCTGCTTAAACGTAACCGTAAAGCAGGAATTGTAAACGTAGGTTGTAAGTATTGTAAACATAAAAAAATATTTAAAACGAAAAAACTGTAGCGTAACCGTAAAGCAGGAATTGTAATCGAAGGTTGTAGTATTGTAAACATTAAAAATATATTGTAAATGAAAAAAATTAAAACTTACATTTACGGTTTTGATTTTTCATGTTTCGCTTCAAAAGTTACGTTTACGATTCACAAGTTATGTTTACGATTCACTAGCTACGCTTACGGGTCAAAACTTACGGTTACAATACATTTTTCATCTGACCCCTTTTTGGAGGGGCGGGCTCAGCGCGCCCATTGGCTGGAGACACCGGATGTCACAAAAGCAAAACACACGCACGTTGCTACAATCTTTACAGTCTGGTTAATACAGAAGACGAAGAACAGGCTTCAGGCCATCTACGGAGACCTGCGTACATAAATGCTAAGAGCAAACTTCATAGCTGGTAAGTGTCTGTGTCCTACAGAAGCTAATAATCAAAGAGTCCAACTCCAACCCATAAGTGATCACTTGGTTACATCATGTCGCTATAAGAAGAGAACCCGCTGTGACCTGATGTAATCATGATCAGTCAAGTTAAAGCCAGCTCACTTATAGCGCCGCTATAACAAACAGCTGACGTTGCTATAATGCTAACATTAGCTGTTTTGCTAAATAAGTAGCTAGGGAGGCTCCTTCGTTTTAGTCTGAGGAGAAACAGTCTTCAAATAACTAACTAAACAGTTGTTCATAAGTGAGCCTGTGTAGCCTTCTAGTCACAATACTGATACTGTGAGTGGATGAAGAGCACACCAATATTTTAGAGCTAAAATCACAAACTTGTCTTTTTACCATTACATGGGTTAAAGTTGAAAAAATTCCTGAGCCTGAACCATCTATATGAATCATAGAATGATCACTAATAAGCGTTTTTTATAAGCGCCTTTATACGCTCATACATATAATTTATATCTATTTATTGCCAACAACTGATGTTTATTATAAACATCAGTTGTTGGCAATAAATACATCATCTGACTATTGAATTGTTACTTAAATGTAAAGCCTCACCTTGCCAAGACCTTTCTGCAAGTACCCCTAGTTTGGATTTGTGTGATAATGTAAAAAAAAAAAAAAACATACCACATCACAGTAAGTGAATATACTATTTTCTTTTTTTTAATTATTATTGATGTTATTACTAACATTTTATGTGTAAACTGTAAACTGATTAAACATCCAAACTAGACATCAGATATGACATACAAAAACTAAAAACACTGGATCAGGCAACAAGAACACTTCCAGATTCAACCTTAAATATATAAATAAACCTTAACTTTTAAATTCTACTTATTAAACATTTAGCTTTCAACACAAATAAATGAAACTAAAGTGCAAATGAGCTTTGTGCTGTGTGTCTTCATAAAGCACCTGTGTTAACTTTCAATAGACTTTGATTTGGTAAAACATTACAAAACAACACAAATGCTAACAGTACTGTTTGAAATATTCATTTCTTTTTCTTTTGTTTAGGGTGTGAATTATCTGTATGCTTTCTTTTTAACATGTTGGGCGGAGGGTTTAATGAGGAGGCTACTTTGTCTGAACAATTAAATAGAGGGAAAAAACCGCATGGTCCAGAGGAGGAAGCAGCTGGTGCAGAGGAGAGTTGTCTGGCTGGTCCAGAGGAGGAGGCAGCTGGTGCAGAGGAGAGTTGTCTGGCTGGTCCAGAGGAGGAGGCAGCTGGTGCAGAGGAGAGTTGTCTGGCTGGTCCAGA